TTTCTTTTTTATACTTATACATTACACATCAAGTCAAGCCACCTTTATTTATTTATTTTATCACCTATAGTTAATTTTTGATTCACATATACACATATGCATTAAATATATTCATTATAAAAGCACAAATATAATTTAAATGAAGTAAAATATTTTTCAATTAGCTTTTATTTTTATATTTTCAGTTTTAATTTTAGTTTGGATTTTAATATTTTTGTTGTGCTGTTGTCATATTTGAGCTTTAGTAATCTAGTACTTCAACTATTAGTTGTCACGGCTTCTCTTCAAATTAAATAAAAAACAAATGTGTTTTTAAGCTTTTAATGTAATATTTTACATGCATTAATTTATTTATTAATTCAGATAAATATTGAATAAAGAAACCATTTTAATTGTTTTACTTAATAACAACACTGCTCCGAATCGAATCGCAAAATATTTTGCACCCCATTTTCACTTGTTTTTAGTGCTGGCCACTCGTGATTGGATTACCTGTGATAGGCCTTGGGTGTAAATGGGGCCATGGAAGTATTCCTGCAAACTTCTGCCAGTTCACCTCACCTCCTCTGTGCTCATTTTTACACTTACATGAAATCTATCCCACACCCTCCCAAGCAGTCCTGGCTTAGAAAGAGATAACAGTGGCTTTGGTCCCGGCTGGGCCAACGATTTCCACATTGAAACTGCTATTCATATCAGAGAAGCTGCCTGAACATCAGGCAAGAGAAAAGGTGTGAAATAGCGCGACCAATCTGGAGAGTTCTGGGCAGACAGACAGTGTAAGACTGTCCAGGTGTCTTATAATATGAGGATTAGAGGTTTGCCAAGGATTGAGCAGCACAGGCCTGGTATGAAAAGAGGGAGAGAGAGAGAGAGAGAGAGAGAGGGAGACTTACTGAGGACTTCAGAGACATCAGAGGAACTGCCTGTGCTGGCAGAGTGCCACAACCAAGACCATCATTTTCAACCCCCAAATTAGAGAGGTGACCATCTGACAATAAAACAGCCTGTGGAGAAGAGAAAAAAAGAGTCAGACTTCCATTATAAATATTAATCAAATGGAAGCCTTTCAGAGATGGCATTTCTCTGCAGGGAAAGATGTAGTACTTGCCTGTCAGGGCAGCAATGGAGGTCAGCACGGCCTTTCCCTTGAGTCAAACTTGATTTAGCCCTTTTTGCCAGTATACAGTATAGAAAGTATGAAACCATAAGATATTGAAATAAGTTCATAAATAGACCGAGAGAAAACAACTGAGAAAAGTGTTCTTATGTTGAGAAGAGAAAATGCTAATGTTACATCCTCGTCTGTTCTATTGTTCTTCTGCAGGTCTTTAACCAGTCCAACTCTTGGCAGGTACAGAACACTAAAGGACCATTTTATTTCTAAATGAGTCTAAATGGCGCACCACAAAGACTGGAAATGCTGCTGCTCTTTCAACCATAAGATATTGAAATAAGTTCATAAATAGACCGAGAGAAAACAACTGAGAAAAGTGTTCTTATGTTGAGAAGAGAAAATGCTAATGTTACATCCTCGTCTGTTCTATTGTTCTTCTGCAGGTCTTTAACCAGTCCAACTCTTGGCAGGTACAGAACACTAAAGGACCATTTTATTTCTAAATGAGTCTAAATGGCGCACCACAAAGACTGAAAATGCTGCTGCTCTTTCATTTTAAATGGTAGGTTGGCATTTAACATTACACATGTCAGCAGAACTTCACTCTCCATTTATGGCTTCTTAATGTATGTGTATTTGTTCACAGCCACTTCTGATATTAGCTGTTGTCATCGGCAGTGGAAAGGGACATTTAACATGCAGATATGAAAAAACACTCTTGTGATCATAAATGAATTTATAAATTCATAAACTCCCACCTTTTTATATAGCCTGCTCCACATCCTGTAGCACAAATAATCGACTTTTACACACAGAAATAAAAAACCTATAGAGAAAAAAACTATATGTATGTTTATATATTATATCACATCTCTGTAATAGTTTTTTTTTTTTTTGGCTGATGACTGATTTCACCCCTCTCTATTTTTTGACTTTAGGTGCTATAAGGGAATATAAATTTTTAAGCATTTAATAAGTGAAATGATAAATAAGGTTTTCATATATAAATGTGTTTATATAATGTGTAAATAATTTGCATTATGCCATCTTGAATTTAATTTTAAAAAATAGTTTAATATGACATTACAAGCTCAGGGTTATGAAAAGTAATTCTCGGGAAGACAGTTAAATGCCTATATTTCTATAAATATCCACTTTTAAATTATCTTTGGGGTTGACATTTTAAAATCTAATTGTAAAAACATTTTTTTAAATAAATAAATATATATATATATATATATATATATATATGCATATACTGTATAGCAAGTAGAATTTGTACTTTTGTATAAGTGTTATTTATAAACATGTCTATATTAAAGTTACTTTTACATAGGTCTATAGAATACAAATGCCACCCGATAATTACACTTACTGTATATGTGTCTTATATATCTCTTTCTTTTTGCCATATACATGCCTACATCTGACAATGCTCCCCTCCCTCAAACTCTCTCTCCCATTCTCCTTCTTTTTCTGTCCTCCCATTATGAATAATGAACTTGTCCTCCTATGATCAGGCCTATTGGGGATTTCCGCTGTGTGTGTCAGGGCCTGTCTAATGGATTGCTGTATGCTAATTTGGCTAGAGGATGATGGGCAGTTCTCTGCTGGGGTCACCGGTGAAATAAAAGAGCCCTTTGTGCGAATCTGAGCCATGTGCCTCTTACAGACCGGCACAGACCTTGAGAGTCTTCCTTTATACTTGTGCACAGCTACTAGAGAAGGAAGAACAATGGGAAACAACAGGCTATGTCACTATTGATTTAGGGAGGGATGCCTTGGTGTCCTAGACCTCAGTAAACTCCTTCAAAGTGTGTATGTAGGTAACCGTCAGCCGTTGAACACACTCTTAGATGGTTTTGGATAAGCCGCTTCCATCCTCTGCGACCCAGAATCAGTCTCGCTGGCCCCTTTCCAACCCTCAGTCCATCAGCCATTAGACCATTAATGAAGTAAACTCACATTGTTATTGACTGGCTTGTCAGTAGCCCTGCCTGAGTCCTTAATAGGAGCCATTGGTCTTAAGTTAAAAAAGGGCTGAAGGAGGTAGAGGAGGCCATGCACAGCATCTCAAGTGCCCTGCAGAGGTGAGCAGCTGCCAGCCCATGCAAATGATCTGGCGGAGATGAGCTGCTGTCTGGACGAATGAAAAGTTCTGCCATTCAGCCATGGGATCAGTACAAACAGAACTCATTAAGTTTGGTGGGCCTTTGCATAAAAATATGTACAGCAAAGGTTAAAGAGTTAAAAAAGTCAAAGATGTTTTTACAGCAAGTATTGTTTCTAGCATCTTAAAGAGTTCAACCATAAAAATTATAATTGTGCCATTATTTATTCACCTATATATAATACAAAGCTGTATGACTTTTCTTCTTCTGTGGAACACAAAAAAATAAATACAAAATAAAAAAATACTTGAGTCAGCGTTTGAGTCAGGGAGTTAAACTAGTGAACTAGATCAGTCTGATTTATAACCAAATCATTCAGACTGATTTTCTGAACTTATTCATTAACAAATCATTTTGTTTAGGAAAGTGACATTGTCACAGTATTTCTCTCATGCGTCATGCCGCAAGAAGAGCTACATTGAATATCAAGATTGTACAAATCATATGGATAATAAAATAATGATTTTATTCAGCAAGAATGCATTAACACTAGAACCACCACGGGGTAAATTTTACCCGTGGCTGTTTTTCAAATGTACGTAACAGATTTAAAATAAAACATTCAAGTCTCCCAGTCATTGACTTTTACTAAAATAATGTAATTTACAATCCAATGTTGTTAAAAATCATTTAGATAAAACCAGATCAAAAACGGGCCATATATATCATAATAAATTTAGCGGTTATGAGTTTCATAAATAAAGTCAAAATGACAAAAAACAAGGCGATTTATGGAAGGTAGGTATTAGAAACACTAAATGCCATGAGTGATGGAGAGTCTGATGGTAAGTTATGCGTCCTGGGTCGGCTCAGCATCTGACGGCTCATCTGACAATATCATATTTACATGTTTTAGCCTCACGTTAATCTAATTGGTCAAACTTTGGTTTAATTATTACATTTTTGTCTTGCCATGTCGTTTCTTGTTCGCTACTGTGTTGCCATTCTAGTCAGTCCATTTCCTGAAGAAGAAAAAAAATCCGATCTATATGATGTAATGAATAAAACAATTTTTTTGATTACCCAAAGTTTAATGGTGTTGTTCTCTTATTCAAATTATAAATTATATAAGTAAACAAATTAATACATATTTAGGTGAAGCTGTGCGCTTGAATTTTTCATCGCATCATCCTATGCCGCGTGGTGAATTATTATTGCTCATTATTGTCTATAGGCTGTTTTAGTCATTCATAGCATGGGTTATCTTAATATATTGATTAATGACATTGTATTATAATATTAAACCACCCAAATATTTAGGATACTAATTTCCGTTGTCAGTGCAGACTTTTTTTTTTTTTTTAGCTTAGGCTACTGACCCTTATGGATTAGTGTAGCCTGCATTAAAAAGTCTTGAACATAAAACAACAGGATAAATATAGTTGATGACTAGACATAATCGTTTCATGACTCTAGACACTTCTTTGTGAAGACAGTAGCATAACACAGTGAAATAATATGTTCTTTAGCCATATAAATACAGTTGCCATGTGCGTGGGTAAAATTTACCCGCTGGCGCTTTTAGGTATACAGCGACCTCTGGCGGTTCTAGTGTTAAAAGTGACTGTAAAGACATTTAAACAGTTGTATATATATACTCATAGTATATTGAAAAGAGTGGCCAGGATATTCTTAAGAAATCTAACTTTTATATTCCACTTAAGAAAGAAAGTTATATGTGTGTAGAATGGCACATGGGTAAGTAAATGATTACGACAGAACTGTCTTCTTTTTTTTTTCTCAAGCATCTCTTTTTTTCATTTCAGGATATCGGGTTCATCCTGCACATAAAAACCCATCACAGAAAATGAATATAAGCGGTTGGAGAAGAGACTGGAGATGTGAACTGTCCCTCTGGAACGGGCTGCCATTAAGTTTACTAAAAATGTCTGATGGTTTCGCCCAGACAGTTAGGAGAGCTGTGTCTGAACGGGATCCAGATCTCTGGTATGTGGTGCAGTAATGACAGAGAAATGTTGTCATAATTACTGTAATTTCCTTTGATTTAGAAAGTTGGTGTAGTTTTAATTGAGCAGACAAATTTAGCTGTTTTGGACAGCCGAGTTCATGAATGTTCTTTTTTTTTTTTTTGACAGACTTCACCCAGTAACAGTTCAAGATTTTTTCAAATAATCAAGATAATTTTTCTTTTTATCTTTCTTTCTTTCTTTCTTTCTTTCTTTCTTTCTTTCTTAGCATGTTACTAATGCTGTAAGTCATACTTTTACACGATGTCTGCTAGCTTACTCCGAAAATGTATATTCAGTGAAAATGTATCTTCCAGTGATTATGCATGAAGATAAATTTCAAACCAAATTCAGCCCAGCATTTTATTCTCTTGGGTATCATTTGGATTGTGGCTTTAAAACATTTCCAGTGCTCCTGAGGAATAGGAATGTATCAGTAAAATGAGATAGTTAGCATGTATTTCTTATTACGGATGATTTGTATGGCCATCTGCCTGTTATGACTGAACCTCTAGCATATCACAATGCCATCAAAACCTCGTTTTCTGACCGTACTCACGTAAACATACAAAATTGAATTGAGTTGGTTCCAATCAGAATGTCAGATGAATGAGTTGCCTGTGTTTTGATGCCCTACAAAGGGGACAAACCATAGTCATATTTACAATATCAGATATTCTGTGTGAATTTATGCATGTTTATTGATAGCTTCCAGTTCTCTTGGCTCTTTCAGTATTGATGAATGGCAGTGGGTGTGGTGTGATGGCTCATGTGTGGTCATAATTCGTGATAAGTTGAGCATTCTGGCTGGCTTTATGGCACTTGTGGTCTCGAATTGAAAGGAATAAGAGGGTGGTTTAAGGCAGAGTGGATTTCAGTCTTATCCTGACTAACAGACTTGTGTAATATTACTCAACATTCATTCAGCTCTAACCGAAACATTGCACAATAACATGCCTGGAAGCAAGATTTAATAATTGCATTTGGGTTTTGTGATTTGAATGTTGTTTTATGAAAGCATATTGCTCTTGCAGCTAGTGTTGCTTTCGTCAACAAAAAATATGACTAAATATCGTCGTCAACGAACCTTTATCACGTGACGAAAACGAGATGAGACGCAACGAAAATGCTGGTCATGTGACGATGACTATAATTAAATGTATAATGCAATATTGTTGACGAATAAAAACGAGACTAAATGTGGTTTACAAAATAAAAACTATGCTAAAATGTCACTAAAACTAAAATTAAAACAGGCCGCCAAAAACAACACTACTTGCAGCTGCCTAGATGTGGTTTGAAAACGCAGGAAAGCCTCAATAGACTGATTGATGTGTTGGATTTGAATCTGACTTTTTTTCACCCTTATTTGACCCTTAATCATTAAGCAAGATTTGGTGTTAGATTATACTAAAAGATGATAGTGAGATGTGGAAATATGATCTAAATGTGAAAGGTTTTCTTAAAAGGTCAGCTTTTTGTGTGTGTTTTTCCTCCAATAGTTTTGTGTTTGTGACTCAGCTGACTGACAGAGTGTAACTCAAACTGTCCTTTTCTGACAAAGCTGTCTGTGTAAGTGCTGGTTAAAGAAAATCTTACTGTTGAAAGAACAAATGACTTATGTTCAAACGTTTCTCATTCTAGGCTCAGCTTGAAATTGTATTCATCATATTTCCTCATAATTGTTTGCCATGGCCTATAAGGTTAATACCTATACTGGCTACAGTATGTTGATCCATTCATAATCCAGTTTATCAGTCTTTCCTAACTAAAATATAAATTCTATATTCTAAAAATTTCTATTAAGTTTACACTTCATTTTTTTTCTTCCAACTGTTAGAATACTGGTTGATTTGTTAGACAAAGAGAAACATAAACTATGGCTTTCAGTAGAATACATTTGATTCAAATTGATTCTGAATTGAATTGATTCAGTTAAGTGAATGATTCAGTGACTTACTTATAATGACTGTGGCTGCATCCAAAAACTCATTCTTCCCTGGGACAAATATAGCTAGTCCGGATTACATTCATACCATTTAGAACATATACACTTTTTATATATATTAAAAAAAAATCCCCTCAAAAATTTGTATTTTTGTTTTTCCATTTCTGTGTCATGTTAAACACCATTCAAGCTTTAAAATGCACATTAAGACTTCTGCCTTCTGTTCTATGTCATTCCATTTTTCTGTTTACTTTCTGTTAATTATTACAAATTGTACGTAGGGGTCAAATATTCAGTCATTTTTAGCCCATAATTTTTTGTACTAAATGAATATGTTAAATTGCCAGCTCTGCACTATACAAACTTCCCCATACACACATGAATAGTGTGCAGGTTTACCTGTCATTCTCAGAGTCCATTTCCTTAGCTTATCACTGCGCTACGGTGGAGCTGTGCTGAGGACCGACAGCGTGGAGGCCTGAGGGCTGTGTGTATCTATATGGCAGCTCATTCACCCCTTAGTTGCCTGAATGAGAAATGTGCATTTCTCCCAGCACTGACAACAAACCACGACTGCATGTCCCCAACAAAATAAAGCTCCCTCGCTTAGTCAAGAAAAAGACAGCAGGGTTTAGTTCTCTCTCTTTGTGTGTGTGTGTGCGTGTACATGTGTGTATTTAAGAAGCTCTCTCTCCTTATTTTCTTCTCCCAAGGTTACGGTCATCTTTTTATACTGGATTATAAAAGGGTTCAGCCAGATGGAGGTGTTCAGTGTTATTTTGTAATTAGAATGTAATCCTCCTTTCATTGCACACACTCATTGGTAGACGCTCTCTGCATGCAATTGGAATAATGTGAGTGAAAAATGCGAATAATAGCTGTGCGTCTCAAAGTAGCTTCTTTATGGGAAAGAAACTGTAGAGAAACACATAAATATTCCTGTCTTATTGTCCTCTGATCCACCGTATTATCACAGGCACTAAAGGACGATTCTTCGTATAAGGGGTTAGTTTGATTACAACCTCAGCTTTGTTTGCAATACAGCCTGCCTTGCTAATGAAACATCTTTGGATTGCAACAACAGTCTGGCATACTACTCTTTTTAGTGGACTGGTCCTAAAATAAAAAGGAGCAAAAATAAAAAGGGAAACACAGCAAGAGTCCTTTGAAAAAATGGGCAAATAAATAAATATATAAAATGTGAGAAAAGTTGAAGACAGAAGGGACATGAGAAGGTAAAAAAGAAAAAGGTTAGTTGGGTGGCCTTTATAGATCTGTATGTCTGTTGAGGGGATCAGCAGGCAGCGGCTGATGAACTTCACTTTCTATTAGTGGCCATGGTAGGGATGTTCTCTCCCTACCGATCAATAGGCTGAAGGACAAGAGTGTCAGAAAAATGAGAGACCCTTCTCTTTCTTGGCAGGGCAGTCTCAGAGCGGACGGCGAGGCACTGAGTGCCAGAGACCCTTAGTCCCTCTGGAGTGGCTGTGAGTGAGGGAGCCATTTTGGGCGGGGGTGGGGGTAAGGAGGAACTCTCATCATCCGATGTCCTTCTGTTAACAGTTTGAAAAGGATAACTTAAGCAGAAGGACTCCACAAAACGTTTTCTGAATGGTTGGAGGTTGTTTTGTTTCATCTCTGGATTGCACTAAACAACAGTAACAAATGAACACAGCTAGGTACTTGTAGCAACTCTTTCTATTCTGTCTCTTTTTTACAAGAATGTTTCTTGTTCAATACAATTTCAGTCGATAGCGTTTGTTGCATAATGTCGATTGTATGCCATATTGCTTTCATACAATAGTTAAAATAATACAAGAAGTTATGAAGTAACTTAATATTGTCATAATATTGAGACATAATATTGCCGCCTGTCACGAATTCGGTCCATGGACTTCCGTTTATTCACCACCAGAGGTCACCCTTTCCATTACATTGACTCTCGCACTACACAAACTGTTGCATAGCACCCCGGACTACACAATGAAAACAGCTCTGCTTTTTCGTTTTACATGTCCAAGCAACACACTCTAGCATTGTTTAGTTCCTGAATGAATCGGTGGTTTTAAATTAATTGAATCAGTTCGACTGAATAAATGATTCAATGACTCACCCATTATTACTGTGGCTACATCCAAAATTGTATACTTTCCTACTATATAGTAGGTGAAAATCAGTATGCGAAAAGAGTAATTTTCAAATTCATATTCATAAATAAAATAGTAGGTTAAAAAGTACACAGATGAAGATTTGAAACGATAACATGACAAATGTAGTAAATCCAGATTACATTCATACTTAATACTACGCACTTACTCAGAGTACATTATCTTGGATTGGGCCAGTCACTTGTTTTGTTACTGAATGAATCAGTGTTTTGATTGAATCTGTTTAGTTGAGTGAGTGATTCAGTGTCACCACCTACTGGCGTGATGATGTAACTGCAGCTATGTCATCACTTGTGTAACTCTTCTATCAAATTCAAGGACTGAAACTACCTATATTATATATATATATATATATATATATATAATATATTAATGAATAGAATAGAATAGAATAGAATAGAATAGAACTTCTGGCTATTTTATTTGCCTACTTTTGGCTATAAACATTTTAACAGTTTATGTCCGACCCTGTTTACTTTAATTGTAAGTGCTTGTAACCAGTATTTTATGTTTTTTTTTTTTTTTTCAAAAGCTGAAATTTCTCCAATATTACGCCACAAATGCTGTTGTAAATAACCTGAAACATTCCTTTAAACACATCTCTTGATTAATTCCTGTCAATTACAGTACAAGGGCTCCTTAGCTCCCATTTACACTTGTCTGCTGCTCCCTGGACAGCATCAGCCCAGGAGAACAAACAGCAGAGGAAAGAGTGTGGATTACTCCATCAGTGCCCAGTTCTCTGACAGCTTCTGTGAGATCAGGGCTGAGGGTTAGCATTTCCCCCCCGACCCGGTCATGTCTATTCAGCCTCTCCAATTCAGACAGGCAAATTAAGCACTTCCCTATCCCGAAAAGTGTCCCTTCCCTTCACAAATGCTGAATATGAAATTAGCTTGCAACTATTGAAAGGCAGCACAGGATCATTTTGTGCTGAAAGGAAAGTAAAAGGTGTACCTCGTGTTTCTCAAATGCGACTGATTTCCCCCATGAAAGGAAACGAGAAAGGAACAAGAACGGAAAAGAGGGGAAAGTGTTATGCCTTTTGTCCTGTCTGATTCTCTCTCTGTCTCTCTCTCTTTTTTCTGTTTCTGTATCTCTGTCTGTGTCTTTCTTTCCTTCGAGAGGCTGTGCTAGAGCGGGTTTAGATGTGACCAAAAAACGATCTTGGAATCTCATATGTGGGTTTACATTAAAAAACAACAACATTAATTTCCATAATGCATTCTAATGGATTAGAGGGCTGTTTGTCAGGCGAGGTCAGAGTTCTGGTTTTAGTCAACACAGCAACCCACCTGACAAGAGCTATTATGTTTATACCTGTTACAAGCCATGGAAATAAAATGCACATAATTAGCTATTTCAGCCATGATCTCATTTATTCACCAGCATCCCTGTTTG